TTTTTTTTTTTTTTTTTTTTTTTTTTTTTTTTTTTTTTTTTTTTTTGCACCGATTATCTTAAGGCAATTTTCGATAAGAGCAAAATGAGTCAGAAGCTTAACACCCTTTGGTATTGGTCGCCCCGCGAGACCGGTACACCACGGACATCGCACCCCCGTACACCAGGAGTTTTTGAGTCGAGTGGAGGGATTACCCGATTAGGACACGACAGTAACGACTCACTGAGATATATAGACTGGTTGAAGAGCATCTCAGCAGTATTCAGCAGTATTCAGCAGTATTCAGCAGTCGTTCAGCAGTCGTTCAGCAGTATTCAGCAGTCGTTCAGCAGTCGTTCAGCAGTATTCAGCAGTCGTTCAGCAGACAATGCAGTACACGAAGACCCAGGGGTTGCTATTGAGTTTGGTGGTGTCGACGGTGTACGTTGGCAGCTTCAGGCTATGGAAGCCAGCGGCCGTAGAGGGCCGGAACCGGGACGACCCAGTTGTGATCAGACACCGATTGCAAAGAATCAGCGTTTTATGTGGAATACTTGTATTGGTGGTACCGTACGTGCTTGCGCAAGTGTACGGGGTAGGCAGCTTTGGGGCCAATCTTGTGAGGTTGTTCAGTGATGGGGGCAGCACCAGCAGGGCAGTCAGGGATATGGTTGGGTCTGGAGGGTTGATGGGAGTGCTCTACATGGGACCTATATTTGAGTATTTGACCGATATCGACGTTGAAGATTTCATATATGATTTCAAAAGCGAGCTTTGCACGTTGCAAGGATTCAGGGATCACGTATTTGCTCCCTTCACCGAAGAATTGGTGTATAGAGCCATCGTTTACCAATTATTACAACCCATTGCGTCTGATAAAAAAATCATGCTCTTGCTGCCAATTCTTTTTGGAGTGGCCCATATCCATCATGCCTACGAGTTGTACCGTACCAAGGACCTTCCGGTGTCGATTGTAGCATTCGACGCTCTAGTGAAAACCACTTACACTACGATTTTTGGCATCTTGGCCAACTATATCTATTTCACCAAATTTGAATCAACCAATTTGGGTGCCAGCACCCTAATCCACACCATATGCAATCTTATTGGGTTCCCCACCATCATTCTCTCGCAGAGGTCATATTTGGTTAACATACTCTACTATCTTCTAATCATCGCCGGTATCCTTGGCTTCTACCATCTTTTATAGCTAATCTAATCACCTTGAAATAAATATTACCGTTTTCGTGTTGCATTCTCAAGTAGTTTTGAAACCTTTTATTTCGAGGTGTTGGTGTACCTACTGCTTCATTCGTGGTAGATCATTGTCCGAATACTACTTGGTAGGGCGCTTTGTTACCATTGTGATTAAGCATTGTCATTTAGGATCAATCCTGTCGTGTTTTTCTGGCGTTTTTCATTCTCTGTCTCTCTTTCTTTGATTCTTTAGATTTTTCTCTATTATTTTTTTTTTCTTTCTTTTTTTCCTATTCATATTCCTTTTCAATATTAATTATCCTCTGGATTGTGACCATTCCTACCAGCCATTGGGTTCCACTAATACCTGCTTCCTCTTCGTCTATACTTAGATCACACTACTCGTTTATTAGCAGCGTTGTTTTGGTAGAAATCCTCTCACAAAATTAGAATCGCATTTTTTCCTCTTTATTAAGCGAGACGAATAAATCATCCAAATCGACAACAACACTCTTACTACTTCAAATAGGTAACTCGCTACACCTGATTCAAGATCATACCTGTTTTGCCTAAGTGCTGTGGCGGATCCCGTTTGCTTGGTTATATTCTGATCTGAATCACTTGCTTTATTAAACTATTTTAACAGGTTGGAGAGTTTTTTTTTTTTTTTCTTCTGTCGGTATAATCGTGTTCAGAATTTAGTGATTTTTCATCTTTTTCCATCGTTGATTTTAATGATTCCAAGCTGATCCAAGTTCTCTAACTCGATTTCTTCAACTCAGCTATCCATTCATTTCAAAAACCACGTCCCATTGCCCCCTTTTCTCCTTTTTCTTTTTTGATTTTTTTTGTTTGATCTTGGATTTTTTTTTTTTTTGTCTTATTATTCAATTCTTTAACATTTCGTTCTTTGGGATCCATTACTTGCATTTATTCATTCCATCATGTCGTCCAATACAACGCATTTGGAGCGTTCTCCAAATACGGTTTCTCCTGCTACCAGCTTGGATCGGGCGGTTGAGTCTAATAATAACTTTCATCTTTCCTCTCCAGACAGTGATGATCCAAAATACCACGGAGAGGAGAATTATGATACTGACTCGAGTAGTAATGCCACATTATCACCAATTCAAGAGTCCAACAAAACAAACCCTCACAATTCAATGTCTTCCCAACAATCAAATTATGAATCTGCTGCCAAAGAAATTGAACAAGAAAAACAAATGGTTGCTGCTTTGAAAAGATTATCTATTGGTAATATGATGAGCTATGACCCGGATTTACCATTGGAGGATATGGAATACCAATTTCAATTCCAACAACAAAATAATTCTGCCAATCAAGATGAAAAAAGATTGAGTAATTCTTCTTCTCTTTCAATCCCAACGTCTCCTTCTTCAACCAATCAAAGAGACTCAAGGGAATTGAAGAGAACTTCGGGATTGTCTCGTAGCTCTTCGTTGAGTCGTCAACATTCATTAAGTCGTCAGCATTCATTAAGCCGCCAGCATTCCTTAAGCCGTCAACCTTCAATCAATAGAAAAAATTCAATTTCAAGAGCCAATTCAATCCATTCAAGAAATTCACTTAAAAGATTGTCTTTTCAATCTTATCATGCTAATTCTTCTAGAGATAGCTTAGATAGCAGTAATGACGAGTTTTTCGATGCTGAAGGTAATGATGAACCATTGGATACTAATTCCCTCTTGTGGGTCCCGGCTAACTTACATCCAGAAGTTGATCCAGAAAATTTCAAAAATCATATAAAGACTCAAGTCGAAGAAATTATGGAAAGAAAATTAAGTCGTCAAAACTCAGTGCTGAAAAGATCTTCTTTAAGTTCTTCAAGCTTGCCAGTATATCTGGATTCTTCAGAAGATTCTTCTGATCATAATTTATCCCCTGAACAATTGAAAGTTGATGAACAAGAGCCTATTGAAAAGGAAAATCATACAGAAAAAGAAACACTTACAGAAAACGAACAAAAACAGGATCAGGATCAAGATCAAGATCTGAAACAGCAAAATAGAACTTCATATCAAGATAAACGTTTTAGTAATCCTTCATTGCGTGACTTGACAAATGAATTAGAAACTTTATCCAGATTGGCAGGAATGGACTCAAATGATGCTGTTACTTTAGCACGCACCTTATCAACCACCTCCCTTGGTTACACTGATGTTGAAAAACAAGCCATTGATGAATTGAATTCTTCTCCTCCACATGGCTCTCCTTCATCTTCCCCTAATAATGAAATTGATGTTCACAGCCAAAATAAAGATACAGTCACTTCACCAACTTCTCATAAATCTTTAAAAAGAAATAAAACAATTTCTCCTTCATCTTCTATGTCTTCGAAATCTCCTACCAAATACCAACAGTCAGTGGGTCATTATGATAGTGCGTCACAGAATTTGAACGCTCTTGAAGATGAACAATTGATGTCTTCTAACCAACAAAATGATCGTGATATTTCAAATCAACCTCAAATGGTGCCTCAGAATCATCAATATCCTCATCAGCAGTTTTTCCAACAACCAAGTCAAGCTCCTCCTCAACAAGCACCACCACAACCAATGCCTCAACAGCCTCAACAACAATTAGGTAAACCATATTCTTCAAGGTCAACTAAACCTCAACGTTCAAATGATGGTCTGTACCAACAACAACATCAGTTCCATCAATCGTCACATCATGAATACCCTTTGAAGAGAAGTAGAAGACTCGATTATCATAAGCAATCTTCAGTCATGAGTCTGGGTTCTCAACTACAAACTAATAAAGCTGGAAAATTGGCCGAATTGCGTAATAATTTGAATCTGGGTGATTCAACATTGATTCCAAGTCATCGTCAACACCAGCATCTGCATCAAACTGAATCCCAAGAACATAAACCCAAATTGAAATTGAAAACAAAATCACCAAATCAACAACCTCATCCAAGAAGCTCTCAAATGTTATTTAGTTATAGAAATCCAAATGTTTCACCACCAGGAGCTACAAGTAATACCGTTTCGAAAGACTCACCGTATCCAACTGGTGCTTCGTCTTCTATTGAACAACAATTGAACTCAAAATTCAATCATAGCCATTCGCATCATAATAAGAAGTCACATATTAAAAATTCAAGTGGCGATTCAACTAATTCTTCAAATTCTTCTTCCTCCATTACTTCTCCAAACTATAACGATATTTCAACTGGTAATGGCGCTTACCCTGCTAATCAAAGATACCCGAGTGCAAGATCAGCTTCTTATGGTTCAATTCCAACAAATCATTCCAATCGCTCATCTCGTCAACAAAAATATGGTTCCGAAGGCAGACCTGCTGGAGCTAAGTCTCCAACAGAATCACACCTTACTGACCGCCCACCTCAAGCTCGTTCTGTATCGCACCCACAATTACAACCAGCTGTTGATGGTTCTAAGAGTGGCTCTTATCAATACTCTTCCACCAATCAGCCTATTTCCAAAAATGATAAGTCCAAGCAATTGAATCAAAACTTGAATATGTTGAGATCGGAAATCAATGAGTTTAAAGAGAGTTTGAATAAGGCCGACCGTCCATCATCCCAACCACCTCAATCTCAACCACCTCAATCTGAACCACCTCAATCTCAACCTCCTCAGTCTCAACCACCTCAGTCTCAACCTCCTCAGTCTCAACCACCTCAGTCTCAACCACCTCAGTCTCAACCTCCAAAACAAGCTTTGCCACTGTTAGTTCAGAAGGAGTTACCTCAAGTTCCTGATGAAGCATCAGATGATGTTCCACCTAGAATTATACCCGAGCAACATATACAACAGATTGATTCAAAGAATGGTTCATTGAGTCCATCTCCACAACAGCAACATCATAGTTACCAGGATGAGATCAGGCCCGGCTCAATAGTTGATAACGCGGGATTTGGTTCTCCAACAAACAGTGATACGAATGACTCGGATTTTAGTTTTGAGGCCACATATCAAGATATCAGCTATGAAGATTCCTTGGGTTTGGAACAAGAAATTTTGCAAGAGTTAAGTGATGAAGCTCAAATTAAAAAACAACATGAATTACAGTTACAATTGCAAAAACAATTCCAGTCATCGATGGATAACGTGGCTGACAATTCTTATGATGACAATACTGGAGAAAACAAATATTTCGAGCGTACTTCACAATATGATGATGAGAAGACAGTCACTCACGATCATAATATAGATGATTTCAATGGCCCTGAAGAAATTAATGGCCAAGTTCAGAATGAGCATGAAGAATATCCTAATGAGCAAGAAGAAATCAGGCAGATAGAAGAACCGCTAGAACAAAATGTTTCAAGATCATCATCTACTGTCAAACATGAACCTTCACAAATAGAAAATGATGATTCTTATGATTATGTTGACATGAAACGTACTTTACCTCAAAGTCAAGCTTTTGGAAATTATGATGAAAATAAGTTCAGCTCAACCTCGGGATACACTGGGGATACAACAAGCCAAGACCCATTTCAACAATCAGCAATGGTTGCACCTACAAGTCAATCAGCAATGGTTTATCCCGATGAGTATGGATCTTCACAATTATCATCACCTCAATCTCCAAGTGATATTCAACCACAAAGCCCATCTAGAAAGTCATTGAAGAAGAAAAAATCATGGCCATGGTTAAAAGAAAAAGAAAGGACGTCAAGCTTATCATCTGTTGATGCTAGTAATTTGCCACCAGTTCCAGATTCAAACAATCTACAATCACCAACCAGATCTGTTTCAAGTCCCGAAATCCCTACTGCGAAAGAGCAAAAACCTATGCCAGTTGAGATTTACGAACCTGAACTGCAAATCAAGGATTATGGTAAGGGAAGAGATCGTAAAGATTCAGTTGGGAAAGAAAATATGATTACTAAATTTTTCAAAAAGAAGAGATCTAATTCCACAAGTGTTCCTGTTTCATCTCCAAATCAACCTAATCTGGCTGGTATTAATGCGCTTGGAGAAGTATCTGGCTCTCCTGGTGCTGTCAATACCAAAACAAGCTCAGAATCTGGTGTCACGGTAGATTATGAATCTGATAGCGAATCTAAGAGTACAAGATCATCAAATAGTAAGAAAAAGACCAGTGGCGGAGGTATTTTCAAGAAGAAAAACAAAAAATCAACTGACAAAGAGAAAGAACGTCTTTTCAAGTCCAATTCACTTAACTCTATTAAGACTCATTCGACTGAGACTAGTAATGATGAGATTCAAGGTAAGGAGATATTGATCGATGCCGAAACAGAGGAACGTAATATTGAACAGGACATTCAAATGGATGAGCACATTCAACAACAATTTGATTCCCAACAGCAATCACAAAATGATCATCTGATACAACTTCAATTTGTTGAAGATAATGGTGAGGAACCCGAATCCAAATCCAAATCCAGTAAATTTAAAAAGCATCAAAAGAAAGATAAAGATCCTGAACAACACATGTTTAACATTGTTGTTACTGACGGAGAAAAGAAGAGTAAATCTCATCGCAAGAAGTCCATTGATAGCGAACGTAAAACATCTGGTGAAATCGAACGTCGTGAACTGACGGACGATAAACAACTGAGATCTCAAGAGGAACAGCAATCATTGGATCGAAAGGAACGTCGCCGTAAGAGAAGAAAGCAAAAAGAAAAACAAGCCGCCGCCGCAGCAGCAGCAGCTGCTGCTGCTGCCAACGATGGCAGTAAGGATAAAGCAAATACTAGTGAAGAAGAGAAATCATTACAAACCACTCAAGAAGTTCAAGAGAAATTGAAAAAGTCAATTAAAAGAACCTCTCGTGCAAATCAGCCAATTGAATTCACTGATTCTGCATTTGGGTTCCCATTACCTCCACCATCCCAATCAACTTTGGTTATGTTGGACTACAGATTCCCAGTCCACGTTGAAAGAGCCATTTATAGATTATCCCATTTAAAATTGGCCAATCCAAAAAGATCTTTACGAGAACAAGTTCTTTTATCTAACTTCATGTACGCATATCTTAATTTGGTAGACCATACTTTACATCTAGAACAACAAATGAACACCGAACAATCGTCTGAGCAAGAAGATGACTCCAAATACGGCGATGATTCCATGATTGAAGAAGAGGTTGAAGAAGAGTACGAAGAAAATAAGGATTTAATCGACGACACTGCTGGTGAACCCATCACCATAGACTTGGATATCACCGAAGAAAGCCAAGTTCGTGCATAGGCTAAGCTGCTACATCTACCTATATATCCCTTTTATACCCCAACACTCCATATACATAGTTAACTTTTAATTACTCGTAGTCTTTAACCAACGGGCTTTGAACAAGTGTCGCCATTGTTTAGACCCAAACCTCCATATTCGTTAAACGAGACATCAACGCGATGGAGCGTTTTCTTTCTTTTTTCGTTCTTGGTGAGAAATCGGGAAAAGAGGAAACATACTGAAAAAAAACAAACAATTTGCCAGTAGAATTTGTCAGGCCACTCTCTTAGTTGAATAAAAGACAGAAGCACCAGAGTTTCCAGTGGAAAAGAAGGTATACATATCCGTTGAATCGAATCATTTTGAATTTTGGTATCGAGTTGTGTCTTTAGAGCAAGTTTTATTCGTTGATTTTAATTAAGATTACCATTTTTGTATCATTGAAGATTAAGGTGATTTAAAGATATTTAAATAGATTTAATTGTCCAAAATTATCGGAAGTTTAGTTAGAGGTTTAATATAGAGCAGAATGTCTAGAAACTTACCGTTATTATCGGCAAGTACTGTTGCTAAACACAATACAGCTAAAGACTGTTGGGTAACCTTATATGGAAGAAAGATTTATGATGTTAGTGGCTTTCTCGATGAACATCCTGCTGGAGGGGATATTATCTTGCCGTACGCTGGTAAGGACATCACTCAGATCATGGCGGACCTGGTATCCCACGAACACTCAGAAAGTGCTTATGAAATGTTGGATGATGAAATGTTGATTGGGTATTTGGCTACTGCTGAAGAAGAAGAAGAATTATTAAATAATAAAAATAAGACCCCGGTTGAAGTTAAATTGGCTGATCGTGAGTTTGATCTCAGTGAGTTCCATGATGAGTTACCAGCTTTAGAAGTCTTGTCTATTCAAACTGATTATGAAGCTGATCATAAAAAACATAAGTTTTTGGATTTAAATCAAGCTTTAATTCCTCAAGTTCTTTTCGGTAATTTCACTAAAGAATTTTATTTGGATCAAGTTCATAGACCAAGACATTATGGTAAAGGTTCTGCTCAATTATTTGGTAACTTCTTAGAACCTCTTAGTTTAACTCCTTGGTGGGTTGTTCCTCTTATATGGCTCCCTCCAAATCTTTACATTTTCTATGTTGGTTTTGCTAATCAAAGTAAAATTATTGCTTTAAGTTTTTGGGTTTTAGGTTTATTTGTTTGGTCTTTGGTTGAATATAGTTTACATAGATTTTTATTCCATTTAGACTATTATTTACCCGATCATCCAGCTTTTCTTACTCTTCATTTCACTTTACACGGGGTTCATCATTATTTACCAATGGATAGATATAGATTGGTTTTACCTCCAACTTTATTTATCTTCTTAGCTTATCCTTTCTATAGATTGGTGTTTGGTCTTTTACCATTCTATATGGCTTGTTCTGGTTTTGCTGGTGGTACTTTGGGTTATATTCTTTATGATGTTACTCATTATGTTTTACATCATACTCATTTACCAGCTTTCTTACAAGAATTGAAAACTTATCATTTAGAACACCATTATAAAAATTATGAATTGGGCTTTGGTGTCACTTCAAGATTTTGGGACGTTATTTTCGATACAGAAATTACCTCTACTTATCAAAAAAATGCCTAAGTCTATCTTCTTGGGCTAAGTATGTTCGACGAGTTTTGTTTTTCAGGTGTGATGTTTTCTTATGGTTACTTTTATAATGTGGTTTCTTATTGTGTTGTTCATATAATTTAATTCTATATTCGTTTTTATTTTAATATTCAATCAACAAAATTAATATAATAATATCTATTACTTAAAACTATATACGTGCTTGAAATTCAGCTGTATTCAATTGTAAAGTTCCTCTATTGATTGCATCAATTCTAGTTGATTTGATTACATCATTTTCTTCGAATTGTGGTAGATAATACATTTTTTTACCACTGGGCCTTACAACTTCCGGTAATTCAGCTAATCTTTCAACTTCTTTTGGATCACTAGATACGTATTTTTTCTCAAACCTAGATCTCTTAGTCTTGGGGGTTTTATAATAACCAGAATGTTTGGGAATCCCTTTAATAACTTTACCCAATGGATAATCTGCGGGATGATATGATAATCTACCTAGATTTTCTTGTAGTTTTAACTTTCTGAAAAATAAAAGTTTCCTGAATTGATAAAGATCCCTAAGTTCTTCGTGTCTTTCAAATACCCTTCTTTTCAAGTCTTTGATTGTTCCTCCGGCCTTGACCTCGTCTAGTTGAGTCAAATATTCACCTAAATCAAACCGTCTGCGCTTGCGTGAATGATTATTATTCTGCCGAGATGGTTCAGAATTGGCATTGTTATCGACATGATGGTTATCGCTATATATTTCAGGATCAACATATTCAAATTTGAACTTTGGATAATGGAATAATTGTTCACATTTTTCATATATTCGCTGGTGTTCATTTGTATTGATACTTTTATTACGAGATTCATCTCTTGATAAATTTGCAAGTAGAATATCTTGCCAGTCATATAATCTACGACGATCTGCAATTGCCCCTTTGGTGGCCAGCACACTTCCCCTTCGAGAGTCAAACTTCAAGTTAATATCATCAACAAGGTGGCTAACCCTATTAGATATTTTTTTTGTAAGATCAGTAGTTAGTTTGGAATATATATCTGAGGACAATGTTAGTTTATCTTTATTTTTAAAATTATTCTTAAATCTCTCATTGATCTTTCTTTCGATCAAGCCATGAATTTCATTGAATAAAGTAGAACTTGGAGAGCTCAATTTTTCGGTGTATGTTACGCTGTTCACACTAATGGCTTTAGGTCGTTGATATTCTTCGACTTTTTCATCCACGAAGGATTCTTCTTCATCGGGTGCAGCGCTCACTTTGGACTGGCGTTGGTTGTCGACTTCATCTTCGGAATCAGAACCATCTATGATGTTTGACTCCATCAATAAATTATCTTGAGCTGATACTTTTGCATCTTCGTTTTGCTTGTTGAAGGTAGTCTCTGAAATTACTTGCTTGGATTCTTCTTCTTCTTCAGACTCACTTTCAGGAAGTGTTGGAACCACTTCATTCTGTAAGGGTTTCCGTATATTCAGCCTTCTATAATTGAATAATTCGTCCTCTGCCTCGAGAAGAAAGTTATTATCTTGATAATAATCATCAACAATAGCATCCGAGTACACTCTTGTATGTGCTGGATCTGGCACCTCCGACCTGGGCAATGGCCAAGCTGTCCAATTACGTTTAGGGAAGAAATGGTTGACTCGATGGAGTAGAAATGTTGAATACAAATGGACTGCTAAATCGGACCCATGTTCTTCTTCTAACATATCCATGACCCTATTGTTCTCATGGAGACTTCCATGGGACGAACGGCCCTGACCTTTCTCCTTTGACATTAGCAGCAAATCCTGAATTCCTTATTTAGTTGTATTTAAGGGTTCTTGGTTGAAAGTTTGTATTGATTCCGCTTATAGGTTTTGGCTATATACAGGTATTTTTCAGTCTTTGTCAGGATTTTTTTTTTTCTCTCATCGGCCATAAATCAAATTTTTTGATAACCATATAGTGAAAAATTCCATTTGAGTCTTTCTTTTCTTCCTTCTCCTTCCTTCTTTCTTTCTCTTCCTGAGCTCAACTGAAGGTATATTTGTTCATACTGAATCCAAGGTGCAAGTTCAAGAAGAGAACCGAAAGAAGTTGTAATAACATTTGTAAGATGCAATCCTATCAAACTGCCTTTTTGGATCTTGCTTTAGAATCCAATGCTTTAAAATTTGGATCATTTACTTTAAAGTCAGGACGTCAATCTCCATATTTCTTCAATTTGGGATTTTTCAATACCGGTAAACTTTTATCGACTTTGGCTGACTCTTATGCTAATGCAATTATCAGATCTGGTATCAAGTTTGATATTTTATTTGGACCAGCTTATAAAGGTATTCCCTTGGTGGCTATTACTGCAGCCAAGTTAGCTGAATTGGATCCAGAAAACTATGCTAATATTGGATATGCTTTCAATAGAAAAGAAAAGAAAGACCATGGTGAAGGTGGGAATATTGTTGGATGTGCTTTAGAAGGTAAAAAAGTTTTAATTATTGATGATGTTATGACAGCTGGTACTGCAATCAATGAAGCTTTCGGAATCATCAATGAAGCTAAAGGTAGTGTTGTTGGTGCTATTCTTGCCTTAGATAGACAAGAAACTACTGCTGATTCCGAATTATCTGCTAATCAAGGAATTTCTAAAAAATATGGTATTCCGGTAGTTTCAATTGTTACTTTAAGTGATATTATTCACCATTTAAAGGACAGAATAACTTCAGAACAATTGAAATCAATGGATGCTTATAGAAAAACCTATAGTCCAAAAGATTTATAAGTATGTATATTTACAATATATAATAAATTCAATTATAAAATAATGCATTAAAGTACATTAGAAAAGAAGTGAAGGTATAATTATTAACCCCTAATTTTCATGATTTTTTTCTTTTGCTTAGGAGCTTTTGGAGTATTTTCACCAGCTATTGGTTGGGCTGGGGCCTTTTGATCGTATATACTTTTAGTCATTGGATGCTTCATCGTCAAATTAGAATGAATTGGTACAATAGTATTCATCTTGAAACCTTTAACTCTTGGAATCTCTTCAGGAGTGAAGTCTTGTTCATATTCGCTTGGACATGGCATGCTACCTTTAGGATCAATTGTTTGTAATGTAGTTGGATTACTTTTCAAATAATCAGCTATAGCATTAAATAAACTTCTTTTGTTTTTAAACTCTCCTTGAGGACTACCATCTTCTTTCACCAAAACTCGAACTCTTCCTGGATTACCAAAATCTTGAGGATGATTCTTATCGAGTTCGAGTAAAACTGGTATTTGTAGTTTCCTACAAGCATTCGATATAGTGTAAGCTAAAGGATTTTCAACTGCCTTGTCAACAGAAACCCTTCTTCCTTCCTTATGAGATCTGTTCTTATCAAAATAACATGGGTAAATTATTTGAAATTTACTAATTTGCTCTCGTTCTTCATCAGTAAACTTATCTGATTTCAATATATCATTCCCCTTTGATGGCGCAATTCCTTGTTGACCCCCCATTTGTGCAAGATCCGCCAAATTTGGGAACATCGATGGTTCTTGGGGTTCCAGATCTTGTGATCTGGTAATCGTTGGTGCTGCTCTTGCTGGTGCAATCGGAGTCCTCAAACTTGGATCAAACTCAGCAATATCCATATCCATATTGTCGATATCATCATCACCGACATCTTCCAACACTGGTCTTCTTGACATCTTGCTCTATAGCCGTATCTCTTATACCTTAAGTTCTATCTTCAACTCTTGTCTTTAGTTATGGACGTAGTCAAAAGATCGAAAAAAAAAAACTGGCGTGCGATAGTCAATTCTGTTTTACATCCGTACATCCTTAATCGTCACGTGCAAAAGGACGGGCCAGCAAGCGTTTTGCAACCACCCGTATCAATAGGGACTCTAATCGAGAGATAGAGTTGCTAGAGTTGATAAGGAGACGCCAAAGTGTAGTTAATGGTTCGTATGGAATGTGAGACATGGGGGTTTTTATTATTATTGTTTGAATTTTTCCTAAATTCAACAAAAATTCAGGGTCTCTAAGCTACATTCGATTGTAAATCAGTCTAGAGTATATGGTAATCATAAAATCTCCAAATGCACAAAAAAGGAAGGATCTGAATGAAGGTTGTGGGAGTCTTACTCTTTTGCAGCCATATTTCGCCTTTACTTGCATTTCATTTGGTTATTCAAGCCAGACAGCTGCATCTAACCCTTTTCAAGCAAGCCACTCCAGCCCCGAAACCACCTACTGCCTATTTTACGCCCTGTTATACCCCTAGGTATTTAGTATTTAGCCAGTTGTTTAGAAACTCGGTGGATTAGCACGTATCACGTGATTTATTATTAATATTTGTGTAATTTTGACCGTTTTTTCAGTGAGACTTCATCAGTTCTTGCCAAATTTCAATCCACACTGAAGGAATACTGTGGATATAGTCGTTTGAGCTGCTTATTGGCCCATTTAAAAGGTTATCAGGTAAGGGATACACAGTGAGATTAGGCTGTTCCTTTGTGATTGTTTTTTCTTTCTTTTTCTCTCTATTTAGAGTAGCATACTCCACACTTGGAATACTGATATAAATACTTCATATGGACTTCAAAGAGATATCGGCTGGGACTCCACAGCTATTGAAGACTTGTCTTAACTTATTTGACAATAACGGGAATACCTCGTGTGACCTCGATGATACGTTCCAGTCTAATCCTACCAAACTTCGTCGCTCCAAACACCTAAATAAGGACTTATGTGAAGGTAATACGTCAAATGATATATTAGCATCTGAAAAGTACTCTAAGCATCCGGATATACAATTCTTCCGTCAAATTAAGAATAAGCATCATTTTGCTTACCATCGGGCTAAAAGACAAACACAATCTCTTGATAAGATTAAGCTGAGAATGACGGTATTTGATCCGTATAATCGTGATTATCTTCTTGAAAGATTGAGCACGTTTACTGCCTTAAATTGGAATATTCCTTATACTTCCCTGACTGAAGTGGTTGATCACAAGAGTCCGAACGACTTAAATGAGTTGAAATGTGCTCAGAATGGGTGGAAATGCATTTCAATATCAATTAATAACAATACGAAGAATCATCTCATATGTACATCATGCAATCAGCAGATTATGCTTAAATTCAATAACTTGGGTCAAATTCTGGGAAGTCCATTTGAATTTGACTTGGAGGACTATAATGAGTTAAATAATGCTTTGAAGTATCAATATTTAGATCAGATTGTTAAATCCGGTCATGACTCAAATTGTGCATGGATAAATTTCGAAACTCCAATCGAAGGAGTATATTATTTAAGGCCGCATCTCAAATCAACCGATGAGATCTTGATTAATGACTATTGTAAAAACTTGATGAACTTGATCGATAATAATCAAGTTTTATTAGATAATGCACTCTTCCTTTCGAAATTAAGTGATAACAATAACAACGACGTCAATTCACCTCTCTTTGATAAATTCACGAAAATTACAAATTTATGGATCTTGAACCGTTACTTTGGTGATGTCAAAGAAAACTTCTCGGAAATCTTGAATTTAACTCCAAAATGGCTTTATCTTCTAGCAATGTTTGGTTGGGACCTCAATATCCAAAGTTTCGATAAAAAACTAGTCTTATTATTAATCTGTTCAAAATGCAATCAAAGAGTGTTTTTGGATTCAACTAATCATTCCCCAATAGATAAGCACGATTTTTACGGTGTTTCTCCAAGTACGAATATCTATTTAAGCTCTTCCAAAATTTTAACTCCATGCAAGTTTCCCCCAGAAATACCTCTTACGGATTCTGATGAATCTATTGAAAATGATGACTTTGACCTCATAAAAGACCATAAAAGTTGGTGTTGTAACATTCAAAGTTACGGTACTGAAAGCTTTAGAGATTATTTCATAAATATGATAGTATCAAGCGAACGCAACATTGGTAATAATGGTGAATTTGACTATGATGCTGACATGAGTATTGAGATTGATGAAACGTCAGCGATTTCAAATCGAAAACGAAGCTTCGATGTTAATGAAGGTCTCGATAGATTAAACAAACTAAGAAAGTTATATCTCATAGATGAGTAAGCTTTCCAATTCTAGCCAAACCTGTGTATTTTATTGTAAACTAGAACTGGTTACTTTCGTGGTAACTACATAATATATATATATATATATATTATCTAACGTGTCATTATAACGTAGCATTATCTAAGATTAAAAATAAAATTAAGAATCAAAACGTAGAAAATAAAAGATAAAAACACTCGAAAAACGTATATCATGAATGGAAAATAAATAATTTTGAAAGAAGAAAAAACGAAACTTATGTATGCTAAGGAGTAAGTTAACTGGAAATAGGGTCAATAGATTCATCCATATTGACCGAATCATCAGCATTGGCAGTAGATTGAATTGGTGTTGTTTGTCCTTCTTCTTCCATATTATCACCATCATAAGGTAATAATTCTATAACATCAATTTTCCTGCCATCGTTGAAAGACTCTCTGGAAGGTGGCACACTGAAGTCCAAAATTTCAATAAAGGTTTCTTCATTTTCGCCCCTGGTTCTTTGAACTGCTGCAACACATCTATTAACATCGAACCTTACTTGCCAGATACCTCCAGTTATATCGGCCAATAAATCACGTACAAATTGACCAGTTTCAATATTCCATAATTTTAACATACGTTCACTACCACTAACAACACGAAGACTATCGTGTTGAAAACATGTAATTGCATTACTGTGACCTTTCAATTTACTAAAGTTTTCTGGAGATTGAGGATCCCACACTCTCAAAGTTGAATCTGCAGCTGCAGAAACGAGATAATCATCTGAAAGTTCTAACAATCCAACTAATGAGCTATGTCCTTCTAATGAATAAAGTAATTCACCTTTTTCAATATCCCAAACATTAATCGAGGAATCCATTGATCCCGAGTAACATCTTTTTGTTTGGAAATTTAAGGCAGTTGAATATATTCTATCGCTATGGCCTTCCAAAATGAATTTACATTTATTTTCCTCAAGTAAATCCCAAACCCGAACGGTAGTATCATATGACCCAGACACAATGATATTTCCATACCCAGTGACAGACCTGACAGACTGAGAATGTCCGGTGAGAACAGCAACAAGATAAGGATTATTAGTAGTTTCTGTGCTATCATAAACTTGCTGCAATTTGTACAGATCAGGATCATTTTCATTATCCAAGGGTAACTTCCAAACATGTAAGTTATGATCTCTAGAACCTGTAACCAATAATGGAACTTCTGGGAAAATTATATCTTCACCTTTATCATTTTTCCCAATCTTAACTGGATGTAAAATATCGAGACATCTAACAGTTGATGTATGGCCACGGAAAACATGGGTACATTTACCAGTTTTGATATTCCAAACACGAACTGAACGATCAGTCGAGCCACTAACCAAAGTGTTACCAGTATATTTAAGGGCCCAAACACCGCCTTCATGACCTTTTAAAACTTTTAATAATTCCCCAGTTTTAGTGCTGTAAATGTTGATTAATTTATCATCAATACCAGTGATAATTTTTTCATCATCATGTTGTAAACAGGTAACAACATTACTGCCTTGACTTGGTACACTGATTCTTTTTGGTTGATACCAAGGAGTCATCCATCTACGTAATATGATACTTCTTTTCTTATAAAGAAATTGAGCAATATTCATATTTTTTAAATGGTAATTTGGATCAGCGGCCCATTCATTGATAAGCTTTCTAGGGTTTGCCAATTCTTCATCAATTGCATCATCATCATTTAAAAGTTTATCCTTTTTAATTAATTGAGTCCAAATATCAGCATTATCTATAATTTTATTCCAATTTGTACAAACCAAAGAAGCAGAAAGTAATGATTTACAATCAAGTAAGGATAAAATATTATAGGAAATTTCCAAAGGTAAATTACTAATCAAGTCACGTTTCAAACTATCGTGAATGATACCATTAAAAGAACTCAAAGATGATCTATTAGCACCCTGTAATAATTGGAAGATCAAATTATTTTTATTACTTTCATGAAGATATCCGGATAAATTAACAATTAAATCAAGCAATTCCTGCTGAGTAGTTGGGGTATTAGAAAGAGCATTCTCTATTGGATCGAAAACTGCAGGTTTATCCTGACCACTTTGCACTGGAGAAGCGCTTGGAGAAGGTAAGGGCAATTGTTGGGGTTGTTCATCAATATCAGACACTGGGGTATTGGTAGGGGAATCAAGGGCATTAGGGGTACGGGGATGAACAGAGATATGTTGATCTTGATTAGCTGATGAGACTTGTCTAGCCCTTCTTGAGGTAGAAGTATTCGTGGCGGTATTACTATAAAGGTGAGGATTTTCATTATGATTGATGACATTCACTGTAGTTTGAGGCACTTCAGACACTGGGAATGAACCACCGGCGTTTGCTGAAACAACGCTAGTCAACCTTCTTTTAGGAGGGTGAATCAAGCTATTTTCTCTAATAGCAAAAGAGTTAGATAAGGGGGTTGGAGCACCCATAGTTGCCAAATTAAGACCTGAATTTGAAACACTTCCAGAGCCGTTACCAAATCCAGAAATTTGACTATTAGTATCAGTATCGGAAATAATCATATCATCACAAGACTCAGTACTATCACGATCCCCCAAGATGATATCGTCCCCAACTTCCCGATCGCCAACATTTCTTATTCTTTTTCTGCTTTCCCGAACGGAATTTCTATTATCTGGTGATATGAGCGAGAGTTTTTGATATTCATTATGAAGCCACGAGTCCGAGAGTTTACTCGAGCCATTTACCATCCTGCAGTCATAAGTAGCGGGTATCCCTTGCAAAGGAAAGGTAGCGGGTAAGTTATTTGAACTCATTTTGACTTATTTTGTCTTTTTTATAATATGTTTTTTTTAATCTTTTTTTTTTTTTGTATTAAACTTAGTCTTGACTTAAAGTGTATGCAAAAAGAATAAGCTAGTGAAAAGGAAGAGCTAGCAAAGTCCTAGAGCTAGATAGAAGACAGATGGATTAGTTCAAAGCAAAAGCGACGAATGACGGGAGGACCAAAGAAGCAATAAATACAAATAAGGGGGTTCTCTGATAAATAACCTTGATTTTGGAAATAACGTTTTTTTCCAATCAGAACAGCAGATCCATTCAAATACAACCCACACGTTCGAAGTAACTTACTATTTCTTTCTATTTTTTTTCGATCTTATAGCTTTGGCCTGACGAATCACCAAGAAACAAACAAACAAACAAAACAAAAAACAACAAAAACAACTAAACCAAAGAGAAAGAATGAACCAAGTGAAGGCAACCAAGAGTCAAATAATCAAGAGATGAAGTGGACTCTTTCAAATAGACAACCTGAGTACTGGAAGATGGAAAATGATTCAAAAATATTATCTAAATAAGAGATAAAGAGTTAATAATATTATATCGGCGAGTAAAAAACCACTGAAGCGTGCGATTTAATTAATAAATCTTCAGATGAATTTTTTTGGTGATTTTTTTTTTTTGCTCCATTTGGTGAATTTTGCGACTGTGTAATTTACAACCATTAAAGTATTACCTCCAAGTACTACTTTAACAAGTCTCTACAAGACGGTAAAAGTTACAGGTACGGGCTAGACAGAATTGACTATTAACAGAAGGAAATTTAAGGAAATGACGTAGAGTAGAGCAAAAACAAGGTCAAGAGAGCGATACGACTAGGACTTAATCAATGTTTTTGATCAAGATACCTGGTTCACCAGGGATAGCGTTATCGATGACCTTACCCTTGATTGAGATTTCAACATCGTCACCGGTAAGAATGTTTTTACCGCTGGTAGCACCGTGAGGGAAAGCAATGATTTCGATTTCTTTGAACTCGACAGTGGTAGAAGATTTCTCAATGTTTTTCAAAACACTCTTGACAACGGAGACTTCATCAAAAGTTAATCTTCTATTGAAGACCACAGCAGGGTCTTCTTTAGTTAATCTTGCCTTTAATAAGGAAATGAAAGGCATGGCACGTTTCATATCTTTACCGACTTTTTCTTTAATGAGTTTGTTATCATTCAAGGATTGTTTTTCAAATAAGTCTCTAACGATATCGATATAATTATCTTGCCATTCTGGGAATGAGGTAGAAACTAAAATGGTAAGTTTAGTTGGTTTATCGGAGGTGATATCAGCTTTACCCTTTTTAGCTTTCAAAGCATTAATTTCAGTTTCACGAATGGCTCTAGCTAATTGTCTAACGTAATCTAAAGAATCAATTAATGATTGAGAAACTGGTTTACTGGCTCTTGGGAATCTAGCATTTTGAACTGAATCTTTTTTACCTAAAACATCTCTATAAAGGTATTCAGCAAAATGGGAAGCAATGGGAGCTAATAATAAAGATTGATATTCAATATATTTGAATACCAAATCTTTATGCATACCAATGGTTGAAGCAAGAGAATCTCTATAATAATCTCTGGAAGTTTGGAAATCAAATAAACCAGATTTCAATGCTGATTTATAATTAGTAAGGCTGTATTGTTCATAAGTCTTTTCAATCAAATCATTCATTTCATTTTCAAAAGCTTCGTCAAAGAATGAAGTATATTCACCTTCTCTTAATGAATCTTGGTTTTTAACTTGCTCTTCACACCATTCTTTTAAAGTAGTTAAACGTAAAATAGCAGCATTGGCATTGGCTTCATCAAAATTAGCATCTTCAATAGTGTCACCAGCATCAGCTAAAGCAATTCTGGAAGCGTCAGCACCAAACTTCTTAACAATTTGTTCCAAAGTTAAAAAGTTACCAGTTGATTTGGACATTTTGGCATTATTTAATAATAAATGTCCATTAGCTCTAACACCCTTTGGCCAAAATTGTTTTGGGAATAAAGCAACATGACTGTAAATAAAGAAAGTTAAATGGTTTGGAATTAAATCTTTACCAGAAACTCTTGCATCTAATGGATAAAAGTATTCGAATTCTCTTCTTAAAGCCTTTAATTGTTCTAATGGGATATCAGTTTCAATATTTTCACGACGACTGAAAATATAATCAAAAACATCATAAGTCATTTGTTCGGGTTTAATGTCAAAAACACCTTTTTCTTTACCAAAGTAATCAGAATGTAAAAATCTTGAGATAGTATAATAGGCCATATAAATAGTAGAATCAGATAATGATTCAACTAAATATTTTTCATCCCATGGTAATCTGGTACCTAAACCGAAGTTTCTGGTAACGGCCCAGTTCTTTAACCAGTCTAAGACACCTTCAAACCCATTTCTGGTTTCTTTTGAGAAAGTTTGCATGTGTTCTAAACATTCAAAAGCTTGTGATTTCCAAGAATCTTCACCGTAGTCGATATACCATTGATCTTCTAAAGAAACGATACATTCATCACCGGATCTAGAAATAACTTGACCTTCTGGTTCATTATAGACAAAAGCTTCGCCTGATTCAATTAAGTCATTCTTACATTTAGCCTTGGCAACTTCAACTTTTTCACCAGAGTATTTACCATAAGCCATAACACCATTGTAGAAACCTTCCTTGTAAGCAGCTTCTTTAGCAGCAGCCAATTGAACGGAATCTTTTGGTGATTGAATTTTTAATTCTTTGACTAAGTGTTCAGCACATTTGTCGCCATACTTTTCGGTTTTAATGATGGAAATAATATCAGTTTGAACCCAATCTTTTTCAATCTTATAATATTCTGGCTTGTTGGCTAAATCTTTGGTAGTAATGTAATCATCTGGAGAATCAGATGGAACACAGGTAACAACACCGGTACCTTTGTTGGCTAAAATGGTTTCCATTGGTAAAACACGTAATTCCTTAAAGTGAGCTAATGGAGCGTGAATCTTAGAACCAATCAAAGTAGCACCATTAATTTCAAGAGCAGCAGAATAATCACCTCTCTTTGGAGTGATGTTTTGGTATGACATATTTTTGAAAGCACGGGTAGTGGTGATGAAATATTCACCGTTACCAGCATCAAAAATACCATAATCAATCTTTGGAGAAACAAAACAACAAGTTTGACCATACATAGTTTCTGGTCTTAAAGTAGCAGCAACCAAATAGATCTTTTTATTGCTTATATCGAATTTTTGTTCAGCAAGATAAGCTTTAGCTTGATCAGCAAATTCAGTGATTTCAATTTTGATACCAGTGTATTCTTGGGGGTTAACACCTTCACCAGATTGTCTGTCATGATCTAAACAAGCTTGACCATCTTTCTCAGAGTAAATGGTATATCTTTCACCGAATTTGATTTTACCACAATCTCTAAGTCTAGTAATTTGCCATCTAATAAAAGCATCGTAATAGAGGTTAGCATCGGTAGTAACCATTGAACGTCTCCAATCAACTCTACCACCAAATTCAGTAACGTGTTTTTGAGTTAAAGGCGGGAAGTATTGAAGCCAGTAATTAGGATCAGCAAACTTGGCAACTTCGGATTTTTCAAGACCTAATTGTAACATAATTTCAAATTGGTACTTACCTCTACCCTGTTTAGCAACAACTTTTGATCTCTTAGCAGCAAATTTGGTTGGATCATCCTTTTTAACTGCTTCTTTTGGAGCAGCTGGTTCTTCTTCGGCATCTGGTGCAGGAGCTCCTGAAAAATCTTCACCAAATTCTTCGATTTCTCTTTTGATCTTATCAGCAGCAGCTTTAATTGGCATACCAGTACAATGGAAACCTAATGGGAATAAAGCTCTTTTACCATCCATTCTTTCGAAACCAGTTGCAAACTCAACCTTAGATAAAGTGAAAGAGTGTCCAGCATGTAAGATACCATTCATATATGGGTATGCCATAGTACTGAAGTATTTTGGATGTTTTCTTCTCAATTCTTCAGCATCATCAGTAGGATCTTCTTCAATAGTTGGAGCATTGATTTCGAATTGTTTTTCTTCTGCCCAAAGCTTTTGATATTTCTTTTCAATATCGACCAAGGTATCCCTACGGTCAGTTTTTTCTAACTTAATAGTTGCACTCATAGTCGCTACTACTTCGGTTAATTATTAAGTCAACTTTCGATTTACCAAACCTTTAATCGTAGATAAAAGATTTTTCACTTCACTTTTTCACTTTTTTTTCCCTCAAATTTGACTCACTTTACAAGTTATGCAACTCACGTGACCCGGGCAGTTTCGTGCAATGCGAAATTCAAACTACAGCTTTGATTGCAAAAAGAGAATACCAGGGATGACTTTGATAAGAAACTGGGACCAAAGGCTTACAGTGAGAGAGATTAGTATAGCAAGGTGTTTCATTAATTATTTAGAGGATACGCTAACGTTTTCTACGGCGCATCAAGGTGGGTGGAGCCAAAAGGGAGTTGTCTGTAACTGGGGGTTGATTATGGGTGGTTTTAGCAGTTGATGGATTGTGAAGCTTTTGTAATAGATCTCTCTTCAGTCCCACGGTCAAGGTACGGCCGGCAAGGTCCTGAGAATTCAAGATCATAGATGCTTTACCAGCATCGGGTGAATTGGTAAACTCAACAAGCGCAGCTTCGGATTTTGGGAACAACTCTAGTTTATTCACGTCCCCAACGTTTTGAGTAATATGTGATCTTAATTGCTGAGCTGTCAATGTATCATTCACGTTGAACAATGATATACTTTTGCTGTCATCGAAAGCCGAAATGCTTTTCAGCGGCTGTCTATTTTGGTCTGCCTTGCTTTTTGATCTTGAGATCTTGATTGGGCGTTTCGAAAGGGAGGCACCATTTAATTTTAAGGCATTTTCAAGACCAACATCGGTTTTGAAATTGATGAAACCAAACCCAGAATTATGATAGCCTTTATCGACACCTTTTTCATTGACTGGCAACCTAATCTGTTCTATTTCACCACAGCCAGAAAAAAAATCCCTTAGGATGTCACTTGTAACAATTTTGAAATCTAAGTTTTGGATAAAGGCTTCGTTTGAATGCGAGGATTCATTTCTTTCACGTTTACGAGATGGGTCAGAAATCTCAACTTTTAATGTATATCTCTTATTATCAAGAGGATCTTCAATTTCTTTATCATTGAACATTTTTTTAGCTATCATGGCATGTTGCGGATCTCCAAATTCAATATAACAAAATCGCCTGTCGTGCTTGGCTTTTTGACTAGGAAATCTTGCACTGATAACATTACCTACTTTTGAAAACATATCCTTTATTTGATCTTGACTTAGGCTAGGGGGGTAATTAGTAACCCAAACAGTAGCTTCAAAGAACCGGGTAATCGAGATTTCATTATCTTGGAATTTTTTGAATCCTTTTGTTAATGCAGCAAGAACTTCTTGTTCGCTGTGAAACTCAACTCTACAGGATATTCCGTCATTTTCTTTGAATAAAATTATCTCTTTAGTATCACCACATTCCTTGAAGAAGTCTTTAACATGATTTTCGGTAGTGGTTCTTGGGAGGTTCGTGACTTTAATAGTGAATAGCTCTCTATTTCTCTTAAAATCTTCAGTGGATTCAGTTCTCTGTTTCTTCGACGGTAATTCTTCTTTTCGTACTTCTAGTGAACGCTTTCTGCCAATGCTATTCGATATATAATTTTCAGTAGACATATTCATGCGATATTCAGTGATAGCTTTCAAAATCTCATCGGCTCTAACGACAAGCTTTTTGTTGGCTTCTGAAGACTCATTAAGTTGGGCGAAAGATAACCATTCCAGAAGAATCCTTTCTGGCCAGTCCATCTCTAATATTCTTTCCAATGATGACTCGAAAACTGCCGAGATTTCTCCTGCTGAAGCCCCATTTCTTTTCTTAAACTCGTAAAAAAAAAGCCAAACTTCACATTGAGCGTTAAACAGTTCAACTAAACCTTGTAATATTTTCTCTGCCAGTTCAATTTCATCCAATTTCTCAAAAATGGTGATGGCAGTCTTTTCAACAGTATGAAATATGTCATTGTTTTCTAGAGCATGATTAACAAATTTATCTATATCCGAAAATAGATGATTCATGAAATCTACTATTCCTAAATCCTCAACACACTTATATTCAAAAGCAAGTAGAGTAGTAGCTAATGTCTTCCAGGAATCATAGTCACTAGAGTTCATCAAATCACATTCTTGAATCCTCTGTCTGATTACAAGAAATTCAGAGGTCTCCTTGGGGTTTTCCTGAATGTTGCGAATAAATTCTGCGTACCCAAGACATGAGTATGGATATGTTTGGAGAAATTGCTTCAGGTATTCACGAGCTAATTGGGAATTCCCCAGATCATATAAGCAATAAATAAACGTTAACCAAACAGGAATCCATTGATTTTGTCCATTTCTTAGAATTCCACCAGCTGTTAAAGCACGAAAGAAGGTGGTTCTTAGTTGTTTCAAGGTGTGATCCTTCTTTGAATACTTATATATTTGATCCAAATATTGGCTCCAAAGTTCAACATTGGTTGGATCTTTTGCCAATGGAAGTTCAAACATCTCATAATATCTCATCGACTTGGAGGTTTTTTGATACATACTATTAGCTTTGACCATATACTTTTCATAATCATTTGCTTTGTTTTTACTAACAAACTGTGATACTTCCGAAAATACTCCATCCAAATTATTTTGCGGCCTACTCAATCTTCTCAAGTATAGCTGGAATACCGACTCAAATTGCAGTTGTCCTTCCTCGAAAAGAGCCAGAGCTATGGTAATCAAGTAGTTCCACACTTTATAGGATTCTTGATAATCGTATTCACAATCCTCTAATGCCTCATCGTAAATTGATGGCACAACTGTTTCTGGCCGTAATGCGATTAAATGCTCGATGTAGTTAACCCAATTCTCTGCAATTGGATATTCTTCCTTCAACCTTGAATAGAATTCAAGTGATACTTGGTCTTTCTTCTCTTTGTCCGATATACTGGCAATATCCTCTTGATAACCAGCCAAATCTTCTTGTCTCCATTTAAACAAACCTCTTTTCTTCTCTCTAACAACAAAAATCTCATCATTATTTGACTTATTCAAACGAAGGCATTCTATCAAATTGTCATAGTTTTCTGGCTTATATGGATAACGACCACATAATTCTCTGAGAGAAGCGGTCCTTTCAACAAGTGAATCATCCATAATGTCCTCCTTCTTCAAAGTGAATCCATCTAAGATTAATCTAATTGCAATTTCACATTGTGTTTTTCTACACTCTCACTCCGTACACCCTAGTATTACTCGATGATTTTAGACTTTTTTTTTTTTGTTAGGCACTCATCGTGATGATGTAGATTCTGAATAATGACAAAGGTTCTTTTCTGAAACCTTTAAAGCAGTACGTGTGCACAGACTACTATCCAAATATAAGTATAATGGACGCTAAAGTTTACCTACAGTCTTTTGGATGGAAGGAAGGTGATGCTTTGCAAAAAGGGGGGTTGAAAAAACCAATTTTGGTCAAGCATAAGAAAGATACTAAAGGATTGGGACACGATTCGAATGATGCAGACGTATGGTGGGAAAGGTTATTTGATGGTCAGTTGAAAAACCTAGACGTCTCGAACAGCACTAGTGGAACTGTTCTGTTTTCCAAGAATGAAAAAGCTGTTGAAGAATCTATACGGAAAGCCAACTCTCCATTATATAGGATGTTCGTCAAGGGTCAGGGATTAGCAGGAACAGTAGGAGACACGGAGTCGGTTAAAGTGAAGAGCATGGAGTTGGATGCAAAACATGCATTTGACGTTCTCCTGGGACAAATGACCGAACCACTGAAAAAAAAGTCCAGTAAAGAAAAAAAGGATAAGTCTAAGTCAAAGGATAAGAGCTCGAAGTCGAAAGACAAAACACAACCAAAAGACGAAACGAAGAAAGATAAAAGCTCAAAGTCAAAAGACAAAGTGAAGTCTTCAAAGTCAAAAGATAAGTCAAAGTCAAAAGATAAATCAAAATCAAAGGATAGCATAGAGAAACGTTCAAAGGTCAAAGAGCCAAAGAAAAGCAAAAAATCTCATAAGATAGAGAAGACCGAAAGAAAAGACAAGTCAAAGTCGAAAAAACCATCAAAGGAAGATAAGAAGTCGAAAAAGAAATTAAAACACCAACTCAATGAATTATCCAACGAAATATCCAAGAAGAAAAACTCTTCCAGCTCCAAAGGCGTGTAATGTGTTGTGACAGCGTCTTGCATCAGTCTCCTTTGTACCATAGCATATAATAGAGTTTAATAGAGACCACTTGTATATATGTATATCTATAAGTCTTATTTGTTCAGCTAATTTCATTATCCTGCATGTAATCTCAGTAAATATCGGACGCGATCTGGATCATAGGGACGGATACCCGTAAGTAGTCTTTATCTTACAACACTTTCAATTGGAATCTAATGATACAGAGAAAGCCAGGTCAGCCAAATGAATCTCTGAATGTCTTGGGATTTTTCAATATCTTTTATATTGCTGAATTGTTGGGTATTATATCTCTTTTCAAGCTAGATATACTTCCCTCTTGGTCCCTACCAATAATTGGTGGTCTTACTAGTATAAGTTACCTTATTTTGCTAACGTTTTTCCAAAAGCCATATCCACAGAAAAGGATTGCACATGAACGATTTCGAAAGTTCGAATTCTTACAAAATGAAAACTGGCATCGAGTTGTTTCAGAACAACAATCAAATAATCCTACAGCAAAAGAACATGTTTTCACAGAGTCATTTTTAATATCAGAAGTGTTGGAGGATTTCATTGATCTCATTTTGAATGAGTTCGTCAATGCATGGTCTAGGGAAATCACGACGTCTTCATTATTTGAAGACAGCATTAAAATAGAATTGAAAACTGTATTTCGGAACTTGAAAAAAAGAATGGAAAATGTAGATTTTGCAAGATTGTTGGTTTCGAAGTTGATACCCGTTCTTCATGATCATTTTAATAACTACTTAACTGCTGAGGCCACAGTAAGACATAACCATTCGCACGGAAAGTCCGTTGGTATCGAATATGATTTGGCACTTGCTCGTTGCTACAACAAAGGTAAACTCCATCCAGGTGTTTCTATAACATTGAGTCTTTCGAATGATGAAAATGAAAAGAGTTACTTGAGAAACAGAATAGGTTCAATATTGCCACTTATACTAACCAACCAAGAAAACAATAATGATACAGCAATCGCCTTAGTTCGGGAAATTTTGGCATGCACCATATTATCCAATGTTTTTGAAATGGTTTCAGAAAGTGACTTTTACAATCTTCTAATTGTTAAATTAATTGGAGATAATATGAAGCACAGAGACCAAGTCAAACAGTTAAGAGCCGCTTTAGCAGAACACACTCAGCATCCCAATACTAAGGATCCCTTGGAATCCCTGATTCAACAGCATAAGCAAATAAGTATCAATAATTTGAACACTCTAATAGTGAAAGAAAATATGACCAATGCCGCATTTAAGAAACTTATATCGTATATTTCCAATTTTGCAACAATTGAAGAACTTGAACACATTCAACTCCGTTATTCTTTAATTCTATCTAAAATTAAGCCAACTAAAAGAAAACCTAGTACATACGTGAAGAGATTGAATTTAGTAAAATTCGTGACTCAGGAAAAGATCTCGAAATTAAGATCCTTCAACCCTGACACATTGCCAAAGATTGAAAAACTTACGTTGATGGATATTCTAAATGATCTGTTCGCCTCAAGTGCCTTTGCCGAATTCATGAATGATCAAAGAAGATCAGACCTCTTATCACTTTACCAAACAATTGACTTGATCAAAGCTCCTCTTGAGGAATATACAATAGATGATAATGATGAAACGGATTTATCTCTTTCTTTGGAATTTATAGATTTGGAAGACGTTAGGAAAATTTATGAACAATTTTTCAAAAGGCCAGATATAAGCATCAGTAAAGACATTATTGATACTGTGGAAGAATATGTCAAGAATAATGATCCATACGCCAAAAACGTTTTGTATAAAAGGGCTCGAAGAGCCCTCTTTAGATTACAGACTGACCTATATGAAATTATGAGTGACCATGACTTTCCAGACTTTAAAAAGTCCGGAAGGTTTTCCAAACTCTCTGAAATGAAATCATTCCATGAAAATCACAATCTCAGAAATGTACCTTCTACAATGTTCCTGCTTGAATCAAAAGGGGAAACGCTGAGTCCGTTACCTGACGATTCCGATCCAGATAATGTTAGTCCTACAGTGGTTAAAGCTGTGGAAGATGCTTTTTCTGAAATAATGAAAACTTCACCAGATAAAAAGTTTAACAAGACACAGGCAAATAATAACTTTCGTAAAAATCAATTATTTAATTCACCAGATATTGAACAAGATAGCTCTAATGCTATGCCCCTGACAATTGATTTGAAGAAAGATTTGTTCGGTGATCCATCCACTTTGTTTGAAGAAGACAACGCAAACATTTTTGGTCGACATTCAAGGCTATTTGACGATGAAAGTGAAGATTTAGAAACCGACACAGACTCTTCCAATACTGATGTGGAAGTACTGGCCCAAAATTCAGACGATTTTGACTTACAAGCATCAGATCTGCAAGTTCATCTAGCCGCCCCTGGTAACCTCAGATTATCTGAAGAAATTTCTAAATTGAATGGAGAAATTGACAAACTAATTGAGCAGCAGCATGTTCTAGAGCCTTTGTTGAAAAAGGCAGAATTAACTAATAATGTGGGAGAGCTTAAAATTCTACGGAAATCCAAAACAAGTTTGGATAGAGAAATTGCATCCAAAGAACTACAAAAACAGCAATATATAGTACAGGAAAACGATAACAGTTTGTATGCCAAGTCTAGAGTTCACGTTCAATCATACATTAGTGGGAATGAAAGGGGTAAGGAATTTATTCTCTATATTATAGAAGTGCAAAGATTTTCCAGTGAAGACCCAGATGTTGTGACAGCAGGCTGGATAGTAGCTAGAAGGTTCAGTCAATTTTTCAAGCTTCACGAGTATCTCAAAGCCAAGTATCCGGAAGTTGCAAACTTGAAATTTCCTAAAAGAACCGTCCTGGTGTTGAAGTTTCAGCAAAAACAGCTAGTTGAATGGCGGAAGTCATCACTCGAAGAGTACCTTCAATCGCTCATCAATATTCCTCGAGTTTGTTCGAATAGAGCATTTCGGTCGTTCTTATCTTCTGAGAATTTTAACTTAAGAAAGAACCAACCATTTGATGATCGAGCAACTATTCAAAATAACACACCTTCTAATTTGAAAACAAACGTGGAAATGGTTGCAAATAAATTGTATAATGGTATCCAAAATAGATTTGTGCAGTCAGGCTCACTGAAAATTCGTATGGACCCGGAAATAAATGACGAAGTTATTCATAATGTTAAAGAAATGCAAAGTGAGCTTAAACAATTCGATGAAGTCGGTATGTCGAATGAAAGTTCAAACCAAGTTTTTGTCAAACCTATTTGCGACATTCTTATCTCAATATTTAGATTGAACTCTTCCAAAAGTTGGTTAAGAGGTCGAGCATTACTTGTCATTTTACAACAAATTTTTGGAACCACTATCGAGAAGAAGGTTTATGAACAAGTAGAGGGAAAAATCAAAAATGAAGAACAAGTTTTAGATATCTTGAATATTTTGAAACAAATGGTGTTTCCTAACGGAAAATTCAAGGACCCGCCAATTTTAAGAACGATTATAGAAAAAGAGACTACAAGGAGAGAAGCAAAAGGCTTACTCACTGAGTTCATGGTGGAGACCTGTTCCAAGATTTTTGGCTTGTCCAACACTAATTTTGCTTCAACAAAGTTATTTAGCTTATTTCAAAATGACTTTTTGAATGAACACTTGATTTTGGAGATTTTTGATGCATTATTAGAAGAGGTCTTTCCAGACCTTAATGACCCAAATTAAATCAACTTTACACTTTGAGTTTCAACTAATAATATATTTAAAATAATCTATAGACTAATATACAAGATGCTTTGGGCAACTTCAAGCATAAACGATGAAAAATTGATATAAACATGAATTTAGATAAAATGAATTTTAACAAGCAGAAACGAACGAATTAAACATATCACTAATCTTTTTCATTGTTTTGAACATATTCAACCGCAAGGGCCTTAACACGAGCTGCACTTTGTTCGTCTCCATTCTCTTCCTCAAATGAGAGCCACTTACTGAAAAAGAATTTTGCCTGTTTACGTGATAATTTTTTGGTGATAACTCTTTCAAAGAGACCTTCAACTTTAGATCTATCTCCTTGTTTGATTTCTTGATCGATATAAACATTCCATAAATCAATTCTTTTAGAAGCATCAGAAACCAAACCTTCGAATAATGATCTTCCTTGTTCTGGGCTACCCTTGGTAAATTCTAATTGTGCAAATTTCCTAACGACCTCAATGTGGTCTCTCTTAGGTAAAACTTGTAATGCACGAGCCAAGGCTTCATGTGCTTCTTCATTCATATCACGATCTAATAAGTAAGAGCCATATTGGACCCAAACAGAAACAACCTTATTGAATTTCTTGGTCATAGTAGCGTATAAATCATTGGCTTTTTCAAAATTTTCAGACATTGTGTAAATTCCAACTAACTTTTGATGCATAACTAAAGAGTCCATGTATTGAGTAGCACGTTTGAAGATTTCTTCTAAAGATTCCTCAGTACCGAAGGTGTTTTCCAAGTTTAGTAATGCAATCCAGATATTCATCTTCTCTTGTTCTTCACGGTAATTGATGGTTTTCAAAGCTCTTTCACCAATTTCACGAGCTTTGTCGACTTCACTCAATTGCAATTGGAAAGACATATAGTTCATCCACATGATAGAAGAATTAGGGTTACCAATCAAAAGACGTTCAAAATCAGCAACAGACTCAGGTGCTCTGGTATTTAAATCACCAGTCTTGTCGTCAATATGCTTGGAAGTTTTGCTCTTTTTCTTTTTCTGGGTAGTGAAGTCTTCTTCATCAGAAGATGAATCACCATCTTCAGCCTGATCCAAGATGGATGCAGTCCAGTCGAACCCATTGGTGTCTAAACCAATTGTATTGGTCGCTTTTTCATCAACTTCATCTTCATTATCAGAGGAACTTTCATCATCATCTGAGTCAACGTCCATGACTTCATTTTCTTCATCATTTTCGTCATCTTCGGATTCTGAGTCAGCGTCAACCTGTTCTTCATCTGAAACCTCCATGTCATCGTCATCACCACCTTCGGTGAAGTAAGATGCTTTCATTCCTAAAGACAATTGGTTCTTTTGACTATTGATATTCAAAATTTTAACTTTAACGCGGTCCCCTTCAGCAAATAATGAGGTTACGTTTTCAACTTTATTATCAGAAATTTCAGAATGGTGACATAAACCACTAACATTAAAGGTACCATCCAATTTTACGAAAACACCAAAATCGACAACTCTTTTCACAGAACCTTCATAAATCTCCCCAATTTTCAAATCACTGAAGGATTTAGAAATTGCGAAATCACTATGAATATCGCTTTCTTTCATAGACATCAACACACGGCCTTCGGCTTCGCAAGCAATAATTCTACCAACTACTGGTTGGAAAAGCTTGAAGTTCTTCTTCCAGTCTTCTATAAATGAGTCGGAGATATCAGGTACCCTAACTAAAGCAAATACAGATCTTCCTATACTCACGAAAACACCATTATTACCAATACTTTTGACAAAACCTTTAACAATATCACCACGTTTCAAATCTTCAATAGACTCGATGGTCTTATTCTTTGCTCTTTCATCTCTTAAAGAAACGGCAATTTTTTGGTTATCCTTGTCAACATTCACTACTGTAGCAGGTAAGAAATCACCAATATTATGGACTTCATTCATTTTTTCATCATAATCGTTTAATGCATCAGTAATAAAAGCACTTGCGATAATATTTTCACCTAAACCAACCAAGATGTAAGCATCGGCGATCTTCAAAACTCTAGCGGGAAGTTTATCACCAACGTTAATGTCATTAATGCTATGTACAGTTTTGGATCTGTTTGTTAAGGCCAAAATATGATGCTCAGTGTCATAACCCTTGACAACAGCCTTTATAGCTGCACCTTCAGGAAGTTTGTTAGATATGTCAGTTAAGAGGGTAGCATCATCAGAAATGTCCATTAATGAAATTCTAGCTTTAAAATTGTGGGAAATAGACACCCAAACAAAACCTCTAGCAATTTCTTCAACAAAAACTACCCATTCGGAACCTGGGGTGGTTTCCTCTAATGTGATAGGTTTGTATGGTTGGTTCTTAGCCTTGATTTCGCCTTTGAGAAGGGATAATTCTAAAGTCGTATTTTTAGTTACACCATGACCAATTGGTGAAAAACGGCCTTTCTTATTATCACGATAACCAATAACTTTAACATCAACCACTTTGTCAACTTTAAATTGTGATAAAGGATTATTTGTATCTTTAATTTCATTCCAGGAATTGAAACATTGAGAAGCATCAACTCTAGCAAGTAAATTATCAGCAAGTTGAATATTTAAGTGAGTTGGTTTAATTGATCTGATTTTACCTTTAGTTATGACACCAGGAGCAAAATTATCAGTGTTTTTCTTTGATTTGTCCACAGGATTAACAAGATTAACACTGATAGATTTATCACTACTTTCAGAGAGAGCCAATAAGAATCTTTTGTTATCATCGTCAACTTTGATAACATTACAAGCGATAGATTGATTCTTGTGAAATTTTTTGAACAAGTCTTCTTTTGGATTATCCAATGCGTTCTTAGCTAAAATCAAACCAGTCAAGCGGCCAGAAAATGTGACAAAAAGACCTAAGTTTGTCAAGGATCTGATGTAACCATGAATGATTTTGTCGCTGACGTGGATATCATCAAAGCTAACAGGTAACTCGTTGAATTTGGCAGAATCAATCAAAGATTTTTTAGCAGAAACAGCAATGGATCTGGATTTATTGTCTTTCTCTAAAACAACAGTTTCAATGGTTTCACCAATAGTGAGTTTTTTGAAAATTTGTCTATTGCTTTCATAGTCACCATCAGATAAATGGCCGTCTTCAATTATACCACGTAAATTGGATCCTTCTAACTCAACAATTACAGAATCTTTAGTTTTCTCAACAACAATTGCTTTTACAATCGATCTGCCAGCTTCCAAATTATGAATTTCTTCGGCTTGTTCTGAACTTAACTGAGAAGACTGTCTCAAAGTTACCATCAATCTATTGCTTAGGTTATTGACTTGAGTGATTGTGGCTGTTACGGTTTGTCCAATCTTCAAATAATCACTTACTTTTTCGACAAAGGTTTCTGAGATTTCACTTTTTGGTAAGAAAGCTCTGATGGAACCAAAGAATGCAACGATGGCACCATTGTGAACATATCTGTCGACGGTAGCAGCAGTTTTTAAGCCAACGTGAGCTTGATCGAAAGAAGATAAAACTTTTTCATCGTCAATGTTGACTAAGGACTTTCTAACGGTAACCAACAATTTCTTACCGTGTTTGCTTAAAACTCTACCTTTTATTTTACCACCAACTCTGAATTTTCTCTCGGGATAAACGAGTTTAATATCAGATAAGTGGTTTGATGGAACAAGGGCTTCAAAACCATCAACATTGACGATTAAACCTTTACCATCTGGTAAAATTTTGGCAACTTCACCAGTGACTAAGGATCCAATTGGTACAGCTTCAACATTCAAGAATTTTGCATTGATCAATTTTGGTTCTGCGGTCAATACAAGTAAATTATCGATTTCATTATATCCAGTAACTCTAGCTTTATGATGAGATCCGATAGTATAATTAATACCTAAATCCAATGCAGGGTCGATCTTAGAATTGTGAATTTGACCATTCAAATCAGCAGCACCAAAAGTCACATAAAGGTAATTAGAGTCGGCGGCAGAAATGGTGGCACTTTCGAATAAATGGCCAACCGGGAATGCTTCTAAAGGACTTGAGCCTTCTTCATTTGGAGTTACAGATAAATTGAGGATATTAGGCAAATGGGATAAAACAAGTTTCTTTGCGCCTTCTTTGGAAAGAATAGCAATGACTCTAGTCTTTATTGGATTACCAATTGAGTATTTATGGTTCAATTTCTTCAAATCATATTCTCCTAATTGAGGTAAAGTGATTGTACCATCAATCATACCAAAGACTCTAGTAGCGATACCATCTTTGGAAATATCGGAAACGAGCGCATCAACAATAGTACCGGGTTGGATGGCATCTATAGAGCTGATAGTAGACACAACCGATTTCTTAATATTTTGAATTGCTTGGGCAGGTCTCAAAGTAACTGTTCTCGAAGATGGTGCAGATATAATCGAAGTTAATAAGACGGAACCTGGGATTATATCTTCAATAATGATATCTTTAGAAGCTTTTAATTCTTTATTAGAAATGAACCCAGACATTTCTTCTCTTCCGATATTCAAAATCAAGCCGTGATCTTCCACAGACTTAACAGAAACTTGTAAAATGTTACTGGTAACAAAATCTTCAGATTCTAATGATTCATTTACAGAGTGTGGTTCTATTGATAATTGAATTCTTTTCTTTTCCGATTCAGATGGAGTTACCTTTGCCTTCACCCATTGACCGACCTTGAATGCTTCTGATAACTTAGGGAGCTCCTTACTCTCTGACTGAGAATTCGAATCGTCTTCATCATCGCTAGAATCAGCTGCTTGACTTTTTTCGTATTCTTCAATAGCACTGGTGAACTCTTCACTGACAGAAGTTATTGGAACATACCCAACTAAGTTCTCAGAAAGTGCAACAGTCAAATCAAGTTTATTGATTTGAGTAATTTGACCCAATACTAAGGTACCGGGTATTAAATTCTTGAAACTAAGTCTTTCGATGCTTACCTTGTTTTCTGCTTCTGGGTCGACTTCTGGCTTGGCTGCCTTTTTGGATCTCTTAGCCTTCTTAGAAGCTTGTTCTGGTTTGGAACTACTTGGTCTTTTTGAAGAACCAGAAGCTTCAAAAAGAACATCTCTTGTAGCTTCATTAGATATTTCTTTAACTTCTAGAGGGGTTAACACTTGGGCCCCACCTCTAGGAAAAGCAACTTCACTGCTGCTGATAACAGACTTGGAAGTTGGATTATCCACCATATCGATGTCTTGTTGAATATAGTTTGGGCAAGTTAAAGATCTATTGATTGAAGTAGAACCTTTTCATTTTTTTTTTTTTTTTTTTTTTTTCACTGTCCATCCTCATCCCATCGTGCTTTACCATAAAAACCAAAAAAAAAATTTTTTTATCCTCAATTTTTTTATGGAGGTTCCATCGCCTGATTAGAAAGGTGTTTTCGCACCTAAAAGAATACTACAAGTTTAACGATATAAACTTTAAAGATTAGATTAAATTATATTAGAAAGTAAGCATATTATAGAGAGAGATCAGGCTACTTTTCTCTCGTGGGGGGTTCCAGCAGCCTTCTTATCAGACATGATTTTTTCAGCCTCTTCGGCGTCGTACTTCTTCGTCAATTTAGCAAAGTAAATGCCACAGGCATTGCACAAGGTTTTGCAACTAGGAGGACCTTTTCTCCATTCAGGAGTTTCTTTAGAGCCACACTGTTCGCATTGAATGTCCTTTTTGATTAAAAATTCTTTATTCAAAAAGCTTTTTTGGATTGGGGACATGTGAGCGTTTGTTTCCAAGACAGGCTTGTTGATGTTCAAATGTAGAACATCACCACCGATATAGAGTTCACTTTTACGCCTTTTGGGAGAAGTGTCAGTCTGCTTAGATCTTTTGGGTAAGTCCTGCTTTGGCTTGGATACCGGAGCCTTAGTTTCTTTTTTCATTTGCTTAAACTCGCTTGAAGACGAAGCTTGTTCTTTTGTCAAAGATGCTTTATAATCCTTTAACCGTTGTACGGCCTTCATATCTGCTTCTAAATCAAAGAGAAGTGAATCAAGAGTATAAGCTTTAATTGAACCCATAAAGTTCTTAAAAGCTTCTCTCTTGATCTGTTTCTCTATACCTTGGGCATCAACAGCATGGCCTTCTAAGGTATCGACACTAGGAGAATATCTTGGTTTGGATTCAGCAATTAAATTGGCGTATCCATTATAAATATCACTTATGTTATGATTAATATTGTTTGATAATGAAATGATTTTTTGCACATCATAGATTAATTCTTCTTCTTGGGGTTGAGTCTGATAATCAGGATTAAAAGTTGTAGTGGAAGATAAGCTTTTAACATGATGGATCAGACGCGAAGGAGAAGAAGTTGATGGTAAATCTGGTGACTCATTAAACACATTCTTCGGTAGAGATCTCCTGCTCTCTAAACTATACCCTTGATTGGGGAAGGTATAGTCTTGAGATTGTTCAGATTCTTGAGGAAATCGAAAAGTTTGAAGTTCCAAATTTGTTTGACCTCTATCGTAATAGGAATAATCTGGAAGTTGTCTTCCAGTTGTATCCTGAGGACTAGGTAATGCAGAAGACAGCAAATCTGAATCTCCAGTGATTGAAGCTTGTGGAGTATGAGCAATTGTAGGTAAGCTAATTGAAGCACTTATCGAATGATTGGGATGATGACTACGATTTGTTGGGAGTGATCCCCGATAAGAGCTCACCAGTAAATCGCAAAAACTTGGCCCAGGATAAAACTGCTGATATTGAGAGCTTTGGCCCTGAACCAGAGCACCAACATCAGAAGATTCACCAGGCTTTAAGCCCAGCATAAGTTCCAGTACAGACGGTAGCCTAAAAAAATTGGTTAGTAACTCAATCAAGTACTCATCCACCTAGGTTTTCCATATTTTTTGGATCCATTATATATATTTTTTTTTTCTTCTCAACTCATAAACCCGATGATCTGATAAATATAATCTAACATACTTCTTAGAGTGTTGCTCTTCTCTGTCATCTCTATTTGACATTGCCCACATCTAGTAAGGGAAGGAATCTTTCCAGCTTGCGTTTTTGTTTAATGAAATTCTTCTTTTTTATATCTTAAATTTCACCTTCTATTTCAAATCAAAAAGAAGATTTCGTTGCCCTTATAAATCCAATGAAAATGACAACGTTAGACAACTAAAGACGGACCTTACTTATCAAAGAAACAAAAACGAATAGCTTAAATGTAATTATGAAAAAACGACCAACTCAAGCAATAGCACCCTTTTTATTTAAGCAAAATTCAGTTAATGTCTTTCGTTACTTCTTTGTTGTTAACTTTTCTTTTTTTTTTATCTTCTATCGTTTCCTTTCCTGATAACCCGATCCTTTATTTGCTCCTATTCTCGTGATATTATATTTCATTTCTTTCAAAAAATTCCTTTCAAAAATTCCTTTATGCTTCGAAAAAAACGGTAGGAAATGATCTCTTCGGTATATTTTTGAGTCATTAAAAAAGCCAAATTTTAATTAAAAAAGAAAAAAAAACAACGTTATGTCAGCCATCCATAACCGTTGGCATTCCCTTAACTCAAGCATAAAATCTAAATTAGACTACTCTGGTGGTTTGTGGCTATCGATTTGCGTAGGTCAAAATTGGATGCGATTTTCCGAACGGGACTCAAAAAAAAAAAGTAAATTAAAATGCTGCAAGTTCGAGCAGCTCAACGTAAGCGTTTTCTCTCCTACTTCCTTAATTTTCTCAGTATCTCATTATTTGCAATCAAATAATCTGATGTTCATAGGGCAGATATCATTGTAGGAAATCACCTTTTACTAGGTACGACCACTTACCATCATGGAAACATCTGAACAAACCCGGTAAATATCGAACAAACAAACCAATGACTAAAAACAAACAAAAAAGTGAAAAAAAAATCAAAAAAACAAAAAAACGCCAGCTGTACAACGAATTAATTCTCGCTTATGCTTCAAAACGGATACGATGAATGTCAACGGGGTATCTATTTTCGCTTCTTTTTTGAGCTAGCTGAACTACGGTTGGGAGTATCCTTTATGACAACGGTACCATCTCTAACGTCTTGGGGCTCGTTTTTAAACTTTTCTTGACTTTCGAGGTAAAACATTAAATCATTAACCTGTTCGGTTAGATCTTTGTTGGTATTTTCCAACTTGTTCTTTTCCAAAGTTAACGTGTCAATCTTTTTAGAAAGTGCGTCATTGAGGATATTAGAACTATTAAGATCCTTAGCGAGTTGTTGAATCTTGTTATCTTTGTTTGATATTTTTGTTTTTAAATTTGGAATAGTTTTGGTTGTTAACTGCTCCATTTTTGAAGTTAATTCTTCAACTTTAATTTCCATATTTGTTAATGCTTGTTGATTTACTGTACTATCAGTTAAAGATGACCCTCTACGCGATTTTGGAGCACTTTTTTCATTTAATAATGATTCATAAAATTCCCTTTGACTTGCTAATTGACTTATTAATAATTGAGAATATTCAAATCCAACTTCATCAATTTTATCAAAATTTTCATTAAAATTTGCATCAATATTTTTCTTGTTATCAATACCATTTGAAGAACGGCTATTTTTCTCTGGCAATTCAACTATCTTCCCATCTGATTCATTAGCAACCAATCGATGTACATAATTATCCCCGGCATAATCCCACACCCGAGAAGTATTTAATTCCATAGCAAAACAATGACCACTATTAATAAAATGCTTTAAGGAATGTTGTTCAGGTGCGTATCTATCACAACCTACATTCCCACAAATTAAACATATCCATAAATTTGTGATATTAGAACAATCCATACAGTGTTCATTGGTTTCTATCACTGCTTCTGATCCTCCTCCACTGGCACTTGCATCTAGTGATGATGACGATGCACCTTCAAATTGTTGTTGTTGTTGTTGTTGTAATTGTTGTAAACGGGAATTGTTGTATTGCAGTAATCTACGAATAGACCTCCGAACTTTTTGATTAGACACATTGTTTGAATACCTACATATGGGACACGTATCGTCTGACCATTTAGATAAACATTGACAATGAAATGTATGTTGACATGCTATTGTTAATAATCCTGTAACTGCCGAATCCATTCTTTCTAAACATACAGGACATGTAGGTAATTCTATTAACGTCTCATCATTAGATGATGCAGAATCATTAAGCGAAGGTGATGTAAACGGGTCTGTTAATAAAAAAGGAATTAAACTTTTAGAAACTTCTGGAATAGTATCATTTTCTGTCAAACTTCTTGCTTCAAAATGAACAGATTTTACGAAAATAACATGACAAGATTCAGGTTCCATAGAATTAAACGGTTTCCCATTGAAATTAAGTTGAAACTCGGCTGTCTTTAAAATATCATTAAACTTTATCAATACTAAAAAACGATTTGGTTTTTCACTCTTCAATATTCTAATATGAGTAATGTACTTCATATAAGATTCTCCAATGAACCCTAATAAATCGGTTGCAGTAAAATATGTAGGAACTGCAATAATTGATACCATTGTATCATCTCCATCATTAGTCACTTCTTTTGTTTGCTTTGTTTGTTGTTTTGTTTGATTGAAGGGTGTGGATGACGATGATGATTCACTAATAGAAGAGGTCACAAAATCAGTCCCACTTTCCTCTTCCTCTTCTTCGAATTCTCGGAATAGTCTAATAACGCCTTCTCCTAAGAACTTGGCCCTTAATGGTTCAATTGATTCCGAGGACATCTCTGATGAGTTTGCTTTCGTGGAAATTTTAAATTCTGTTGGGTTATCAATTGACGTGATGTTTATCGGAGAGTCTCTATAGTCACAAGAGTCGGACTCTTTAGGGGTATTTAGTTCTATAATTATTCGATAGGAATCGGTACCTATCATTATCTGGTGAAAGGCAATGAAATCGCTTAACCAGAATCATTCAAGGTATCGATCATATCAGCTTTTATCGCACTTTAAAGATGAAAAAAAAAAAAAAAAAAAAAAAGATCGTACATCTATAGATTTGCTACTCTAAAACATATTTCTAAAAGTATGGTAGGATGTGAAGTCTAGATTAAAGGGAAAACTTTGTTTTGTCGAAGTGATGGAGGCTGCTGATGATTTCGCCTTTATCACCAATGATTTCATGTTCTTTCCCGGCCAAAATTTCCAATGCATTTGGGTCTGGGATCCAAATAACATAAGCATTGGCATTTTGGCCAGAAATTACTCCTGGAATACCGTCTTCAAAGATTAGACATTCTTCAATCTTTATTGAGTCCAAACCTTTAAGTTGACGCTCGGTGTTGAGACTATCTAAACAAGTAAACCAAATATGGGGATTTGGTTTACCTTTCCCTGGTGGGATTCTTTCATCATCACCGGTGACAATATGATCACCAAAAAGCTCGAATCCCTCCTTCAAGTGTTGAGTTTTTCTTTGGTAATTGATACTATTGGAACTGGTTCCCAATGCAATAGGAATTTCGTTTTCTTTCAAATATTTCAAAAGCTCTAAAGCACCCGGTAAAAACTTTGTACGGGCCCATTTATTCTCTTGGACTTTAATGGATTCGGCAATAAACTCTTGTGGAGTGATTGGTAAATCGTATTCTTGAATCATGATTTTGGTTGCTTCAGGACCCGGACGGCCTTGCAACTTGATTTTGACATCCCAAGTCATGGGACCTTTGCCATATTTGGCCAAAAGCTCCGATGAGGCTTCGGTGTAGATATCTTCGGTGTTTAAGATTGTACCATCCATGTCTTCATTATGGGGTAAAGGTTAATATCAAAGTATTGTCTTGTAGATTCATCGAGTTAACGTACCAAAAAGACATGCTCTAATGTTTGCTGGACTGAGTAAGTTAGTATTAGCTATTTATTACGAACGAGAACAGGACAACATACACGTTAGACATTATATATTCTATAAAATGAAATAGAAAAAGCCGTTGCCTTTGATATTTGAATTTTTCATTTTGTTCACATTTGTTTTTTTCTTTTGCTTCTCCGGAAAATTCATTGCGAGTCAGTAAATTACATTAGAAGCTTGTGATACTGTAGTTTTTGATGTATATAAAAGGAAGTTAGAAAAATAGTAAATAATGAAATAAATAGAAAATATTCAATAAAAGGTGGAGTGATAAATTGAAAGGGGGCTAATAGTAGTACATCATAAAGGAGCATTTTTGAATAAATATGATATACTTTCACCATTATGAAGTCTTCTTATAGCTTCAGCTAAGACTGCAGAAACATCGATGGTATCTAATTTAGGGCAAAGATTTAATTTTTCTTCAAAAGGAACGGTGTTAGTACAAACAACACGATTAAGCTTAGAGTTGTTAATATTTTTAAGAGCATTTCCAGATAAGATACCATGGGTTACAATTGCAATGACATCTTTGGCACCGTTATCCAAAAGGACTTCAGCAGCTTTAGCCAAGGTACCACAAGTGTCAGCCATATCATCGACAATAACACAGATTTTATCGGTGACGTCCCCAACCAAAACCATTCTAGAAACTTCATTTGCTCTAGCTCTTTCTTTATGGATCAAAGCAAAGTTCAAGTCTAGTCTGTCGGCCAAGCCAGCAGCTCTTTTAGCACCACCGGCATCTGGAGAAATGATGATGGCTTCTTTATAATTGATTTTTTCTTTAATATATCTAACAACACTTGGTTCAGCATATAAATTATCAACTGGAACATCAAAGAAACCTTGAATTTGAGAAGCATGTAAGTCCATGGTAATGACGTGATTACAACCTGAAGTAGTAAGCATATCAGCCATTAATTTGGCAGTGATTGGTGCTCTGGATTTATCTTTTCTATCTTGTCTTGCATAAGGAAAATTAGGTAAAATGACCGTGATTCTACGGGCACTTGCAGTCTTACAAGCATTAATCATAATAAGTAATTCAATAACACGATCATTAACAACCCCTGAACCAATTTGACATATAATGAATATATCTTCGTCTCTCACCGATTCCCCAATAGAAAATTGTACTTCTCCAGTAGAGTCTCTTTTCAATTCAGAAGGAGTCAACTTCAAGCCCAATCTCTTAGCGACCAACTCAGCTAAACCCCGGTGAACGTCACTAGCCAATAACTTAATCGAATTAGTAGACATGGTTTTTTGAAAAAAAAAAAATTAAAAATTAAAAAAATTAAAGTAAAAAGAAAAAAGCAAGTTAATCTAGCTTTTCTTTATATAGACCAGGTGAAAAGACAATACGCTGGAAGCAATACCTAGATGCTGCAGATATAAGATTCAATATAGATTAGTGTGGGTTGGTGATCCCATCCAAAAATGACTTAATTATCATCTACTAAATCAGAGTCCATCAGAAACACTCAGCGAACTCTCTCTTTATGAGAAGAGGAAAAAAAAAATTGACTCCATCACAACTGCACATAAGCACGACTACATACAATAAATGAAAATTTTGCAGTTTTGGCTTTCAGTTCGAGTCCTTCGGACGCTCCATGGAGGAATAAACATACAAAGGATAAAATATACTAATAAAGATATTTATTACTATGTATTAGAATAACCCGTCTAGGTCTTCCCCTTCGTCGTCGTCATCATCTTCATTATTATTATCCTCTTCTTGTTCTTCTCTTTGATTTGGATCAATTGCATGATTAGGGGCCAGTTTCTCTTGTAATTTTTGCTGTTCGTCTCGGATCTTGGCCAATTCTCTCTTCTTAATCTCAAGCTGGCCCCTGAGGGTACCCATGTTAGATTGGTACTTCATTTGGATCATTTTATTTGGATTGTTACCGTATTTTTCCTTTTGAGATTTTAAGACTTGTTCGAGATCCACTATATCTTCTTCTAATTTTTTGGCTTTGCTCTTTTCTTGTTTAACATTTTCGTCTTCGTCATCGTCATCGTCTTCTTCCTCTTCTTCTTCATCCTCTTCGTCGTCTTCTTCTTCTTGTTGTTCTGGTTGTTCTCCAGTCCCTTCAAAAAGTTCATTCATATCTTCATCTTCATCTTCATTTTCCTCTTCATTTTCATGTGCTTTAGTCGCATCTTCTTCGTCTGATTCATCATCTTCCAATGCTTCTAATTCTTGTTGTAAAGCATTCTCCAATAAATCAACGTCATTTTGAAGTTGCTGACCTTCTTCTTGTTGACCTTCTCCACCTTCTCTTTTAATAGTAGTAGCTTCATTGTTTGGTAATGGAGTGCTAACAGAAGATGATGCGGTGCTGGATGTTCCAGTACGATATCTATTCACTTTATTCAAATCAACTAATTCATAATGAGTTTCGTCAGATTTGTTGTCTCTTTTAATGAGCTCGGCTACTCTTGTATCAATGTCATCCATGACCCGATGACTAACTTTCCGAGGCCTGAATCTTCGATGAACTCCCTCATATGGATACGATAACCCATCCTTATGTATTATACGGGTTGGCTTGATCTCTTGATTAGGTGACATTTTATATAATGGATGAACATAGGTCTCGTCAGAAACTATTTCGAAATCTCTTTCAATGTTAAAATCCTCCGGATTAATAGGATGGAGTACTAGTAATATTTGACAAATATCAATTGTCTTGTATATATTTTTCTTATCAACGGTCTTGTAAAGCTCTGTAAGCGTTGGTAAATCAATCAATCTGGCGGAATATAACGTCTGGTTAACATGGACCACCGCTTTCTCCTTTGTAAGCCATTTAATAAAAATATTAGATAAATTCCCGGTATCAACAGCACTTTGAACTGCTTCAAGATTTATATCGTTAAGAAACCGTATCACGATCCCTTCCTCCACTAATGGATCATCTTCCAAATCTGGAGCTTCGGCATCGTATCCTTCCCCCGGTATCCTGGTTGGTTTGACTCGAATATTCGTCACTTTACCTAGCTTGGATGTTGATGACGATGATGACGATGCTGGTGCTGCCGTAGTCGACTTGGCTTTCTCTTGTGAGTGGGAGTGCTTCCCACCTAAACTGATTTTGAGTTTCTTGTGTCTTTCCTTTTCCACCAGTGGCTCCTTTTTGACTATTCCTCCTCCACTCTTACTGCTCTTTGGTGCTTTCATTGATAATTTTAATTTTGGTAACGAAGGACTAGATGCACCACTCGAGCTATTGTTATTGGGTGCTCCAGTAGATGGTGTTCTCGCACTGGAACTGCCACCTCCATTGCTCCCGTTATCGTTGGAAGACGGCACCTTGAGTTTCAACTTCAATGCCATCTCGGTCGTATAACCTTGTCTTTAGTCAGATTCTGGTCACTTGGTAGTATTTTCATAAATCTTTGCGAGAAACAAGACAAAAGTATTTAAGGTGTATGGGTTGAGAAGTCGATGAAAAAAAAATTGCAGAGCAGAGATAAGAAGAGTTATTTTGCTACTCTTTGCAAAACACGGGAATCTTTACAATTAGATAATTAGCCTTCTGAAAAGTTTGTCCAGCTATTAGAAATCTTTTCTTGCTAGAAGAGTGCTCAAAAATCGAAAAAAAAGTAATGGTTGGAACGTCAAAATCGAGAAGTGCCAGGACTAGTATGAGCAGAAGGTCTTCTTCTGTTGACCGACTCAGCCGTCGAGGGTCTATTTCTTCGGTTGACTCTTCTTATAATGATGAGAATAATCATGAGATGTATGCTGGTGCTGCCTCGGAGGTAATTCCTTCCTCGATCAGCTCTTTACATTACCCACATCATTTCAGTAGCTATCGTCGTGACAGTAACGTTTCCAGAGAAACTTCCCCATTGATAGTGCCTTCTACTTCTTATGAAAATAATGAAAATGAGTTATATTCGATCAAGTCCAATGCCACAGGAAGATCTGTAGATACTCAAGTTAATTTCAAATTTTTTTCACCTGATGAAATTGAAATGGCACCAGGTGGATCTACTTTGGAAAATCCTGAAGATCCCGTTGATTACAATACTGATTGGGATTACAGTCTTGATAAATATGATTCGGAAGAGTATGTTCAAAGTACACCTGGTAGTAATAAACTAAAGGGGATCTCACCAAAGCATGATATTGGGATAATTGAAGAAGAAAGTACTAGTCCAAGAACCGACGATAGAAGTCAAGAACACGATGACAGCGAGAGTGGATATGGTTCAATAAATACTAATCTTGACGATGTTTTCCGTCCTCGTCGTGGATCAAGTACTTCTTCCAAAAGTGATAACGAGTCAAGTCGGCAAAGCTTTTCCAGTAACGTTAAGGATGACGAAGATATACTGGAGTTTCCAGCTGTGCTGGAATATCAAAGGTATTATCTAGCAGAAGAAGACTTGGTTATTGGTATAGCTGGGTATAAAAATTCTTTTCGAAAGCTGTTCTTATATTATTGCTTGTGTATTTTCACTTTTGGACTTGGGTATTTAGTATTACGTTGGTTCCCTCGTTATCGTATAAATTTAATGGGGGCCAAGAGTAGTTTAGGAAAATGTGATTGGTGTGTTATTGAAAATGAATTTGGTGAATTATCTATTGTGCAAATCCGGAAACAAAGATATGGGGAACGTCTTTCGAATATCTTACCCATTACCGAAATTAGTGATGATGATATTAATGATGTTGATAACGAAAGCCAAATGGAAAATAGACTCAGTGACTTACTACATAACAAACAAACGAAGGAAAATAATCCTGTTATTCCGGTCATTAGATCATTTAACTATAGATATATCAAATTTTTTTATAACCCTGTGGAGGACATATTTCGTACCAACTCTACATGGTATGATTTAGATTGGTTGAATATCCGTCATTTGAAAAACGGGGTAACTCAATCGATGCAAGATCAAAGACGAGGAATATTTGGTGAAAACAATATTGAAATTGAAGAAAAATCAATTACTCAATTATTGATGGATGAAGTTTTACATCCATTTTACATTTTCCAAATTTTTTCAATTTTTCTTTGGTTAGCAGATGACTACTATTATTATGCTCTGTGTATCTTTATCATTTCATTAATTTCCATTATTAATACTTTAGTTGAAACAAAATCGACGATCAAAAGGTTACAAGAAATTTCCAAATTTAAATGTGATATTAGAGCCTGGCGTAATGAATTTTGGACTCAAATTGATTCTAATGAGTTGGTTCCAGGAGATGTATTTGAAATCGATCCCCTGCTTAGTGTTATCCCCAGTGACTGTCTTTTAATTAATGGGGAGTGTATTATCAATGAGTCTATGTTAACTGGTGAAAGTGTACCTGTTACTAAAGTTCAAGCTAACCAAGAGACTGTCAAATATTTGAAAGAAAATTTTACAAATCCCGTACTTGCTAAATCTTTTTTGTATAATGGTACTAAGATTCTCAAGTGTAAAAGTAATACTGATGAGCCAGTTTTAGCAATGGTTCTAAAAATTGGGTTTAATACAACCAAGGGTTCATTAATTAGGTCCATGTTATTCCCCAAACCTACTGGATTTAAATTTTATGAAGATTCATTTAAATATATTGGATTCATGACATTTATTGCATTTATTGGTTTTATATATTCTACTTATAATTTTATTCAATTGGGGATTGATAAATCCATTATGGTTTTGAGAGCATTAGATATAATCACCATTGTTGTTCCACCAGCATTACCAGCAACTTTGACTATAGGAACTACGTTTGCCATCAACCGATTGAAAAACTTCCATTCAATTTTCTGTATAGCACCAACCAGAGTTAATATTGGGGGTAAGCTTGATGTGATTTGCTTTGATAAAACAGGGACCCTTACCGAAGATGGATTAGATGTGTTAGGAGTTCATGTTACTAAGAATGCACATGGGAGAAAACAAATAATCTTTGAAGAATTGAAAAATGAAGTATCAGAATTAAGACATCGAGGAGATGAATCGTTTAGTAAATTAATGAATTTTGGATTTGGACTGACTCATGGGAATGAGAAAACTTTTAATAGTAGTGAAGAATTGGTTATTGGGATGGCGGTGTGTCATTCGCTTCGATTAATTGATGATGAGTTATTGGGAGATCCGCTTGACGTGAAGATGTTTGAGTATCTGAATTGGAAGCTTGAAGATCATGATGGGATGAAAGTTTATCCTGGAGATAGTGTATTAAACGAAGCAATCAGGATTATCAAAGAGTATGAATTTATTTCATCATTAAGAAGAATGTCAGTCATGGTTGAAAAAGCTGACGGAACCAAGAACATTTTCACCAAGGGAGCACCGGAGGTTATGATTGATATCTGTCGACCGGAAACGATCCCACTTGATTACGAAGAAGTGTTACATGAGTATACCAAACGAGGTTACAGGGTTATTGCATTAGGGTCCAAAGAACTTGAAGAAGACGACGGAAGTCGAGACCAGATGGAAAAAGAATTACAATTCAATGGGTTTATAATATTTGAAAATAAGTTAAAGGAATCCACCAAACCAACCCTTGAAGAATTAAACCAGGCCCAGATCCGAACAATCATGTGTACTGGGGATAATGTACTTACTGCGATTAGTGTTGGGATTGAAAGCGGGATAATCAGTAAGGATATTGATATATATGTACCAAGATACGATCCCGAGGATAATGATACCAATTTAGTTTGGGAAGGGTACCAGGATAATCAGCTCAAGTTGGATTCATATACGTTGAAGCCATATTTTGATAATATTCGAGAGGAAGTGAAGGAGTATCGGATTGCAATCACTGGGGATATTTTCAAGTATATTTTAATTGATTTAATTCAACAGGATGGCCGCTTTGAATCATTAAAGGAAAAAATCCTTATGAAATGTGATATTTTCGCCAGAATGTCACCGGATGAAAAACACGAATTGGTGGAACAATTACAGAAAATCGATTACACGGTGGGATTTGTGGGAGACGGAGCTAATGATTGTGGAGCATTAAAGGCTGCTGACGTCGGGGTATCGCTTAGTGAAGCCGAAGCGTCGGTGGCCGCACCATTCACCAGTCGAATTTTTGAAATCAAATGCATTCTTGATATCATCAAAGAAGGAAGATCGAGTTTGGTAACGAGTTTCTCGTGTTTCAAATACATGTCGTTATACCTGGCGATTCAATTCATCACGGTTAGTATATTATACAAGAGAGGAACCAATTTAGGAGATTTTCAATTTTTGTACATTGATTTATTTTTAATTTTACCGTTGGCAATCTTCATGTCCTGGCTGAAGCCCTTTGATAAAATCATTATCAAAAGACCCAGTGCTAATTTGGTGAGTGCTAAAATACTTATCCCGTTGGTATTACAGATTATTGTTATTTTAGTTTTCCAAATCATTATTTGGAAATTAGTGCAATTCCAGCAATGGTACATCAAACCAATTCCAGCGGGGGACGATGATGTCAAATCCAGCGATAACACCGTGTTGTTTCTCTATACTAATTTCCAATACATTTTAATCGCCATTGTGCTTAGTCGGGGTCCTCCATACAGACAACCGATTTATGAGAACTGGCCTTTTTTGCTCAACTTAATCATCACCACCCTAATCTCCAGTTTATTATTCAAAATCGACGAGAACCTGTGGTTGGGGGATTTTATGCAATTAACCAACATGAGTAGTACAATGTACTCTACGATTATTGTGTTATCCCTCATCAACTTGGTGGTTATGATCAAGGGAGAAGAATCCTGGTTCACGCAAATTGCTGCGTACTACAAATCGCTACTCCATAGACGGAGACAAAGCAAAAAGCGATTCAAAAACCTACTCATTGACTTTGAAAAACTAGAAGTTGTATAGCAGACAAACAGTTACCAATATACACAGTTAATATACAACAGTTACCAATATACACAGTTAATATACAACAGTTAATATACAACAGTTAATATACAACAGTTAATATACAACAGTTAATATACAACAGTTAATATACAACAGTTAATAT